CCCCCCCCCCCCTTACTGCCGCCAGTTTTAATTACCCAAGATTTCTTACTGTTCTCACTTGGTACTCCGTTACTGCCGGTTTTAATTACCCAATATTTCTTCCTGTATAAACTTGGCCCCTTCCTTACTGCCGGTTTTAATTCATCGTCTTTTCTTACCGTTTACGCCTTGCTCTCCTTTTCTACCAATATCTCCTTTTCGTCCTTTACTTCCAGGTAAGCCTTGTGGGCCAGAATTCCCTGTTGGTGAAGTTATTTATATGCCTTTAATTATAACACTTACCTTTTTGATCGTATCCAACAAGATAGACAATACAGATTAAAAACTGATGTAAAAGAACTAGGAGAACTAGAACATACTTGTACCTTGTACCAAACCTAAATATATAGTGTAAAATCCATTCTATATTAATTAATTTTAAACTTTTGTTGAGGTAAATATCGACCTAAAAACAGTAACCGAGACAAAAATTACATGAATATTGACACATTTTAAAGTTATTTTCACCTTTCATGCCGATATGTCCAGTGTCTCCTTTTGGTCCCGGTAAACCAGCATCCCCTTTTGGTCCCAGTAGACCAGCATCTCCTTTTGGTCCAAGTAGACCAGCATCCCCTTTTGGTCCAAGTAGACCAGCATCCCCTTTTGGTCCCAGTAGACCAGCATCTCCTTTTGGTCCCGGTAGACCAGCATCCCCTTTTGGTCCCAGTAAACCAGCATCTCCTTTAGGTCCCGGTAGGCCACTGTCACCCTTGTCTCCTTTCGTGCCAGCATTTGCTTATTAAAGATGAACGTTAGACCAACACATGTAAGTTTGACTCGCATATCACACTTAGACCAGTATATACAAAACCTTTTGCTGGTTCTACTGATGAGCGATGACTTTGATTTTCCCCATTTCTCTTAGTATTATTACCTTGTCAAAAATGTTCATTTTCGTATGTCCATATCTGCATTGAATTTCCGCTATGTGAACATACACAATGACAATAGCGCCGTAAGTACTACGCATGTCAAGCAATAAGAAGTGATATTTGTTTGACGAATGTCAGGCGATAAGAAGTGATATTTGTTTGACGAATGTTAAGCGATAAGAAGTGGTATCTGTTTGACGAATGTCAAGCAATAGGAAGTGATATTTGTTTGACACCAATTGTGCATGGTCGATGTGAAACGTGGCAGTCCATATTCTTCAAATACTCACAGTGAATGATGTTTAAATAGTTAAGCAATGAATGTTTTAGCAAATGTTGTTACAGGATCATAACATTTACTAAAATATTCATTATTCAATTATATTTTCATTTTGATAGAGTATTAACGCTTCAGTAAGTTATTTCGAACAGATTTTTGAACTGCAAATTAAGTTTAAGATTGATGACGTTACAATAGCAAATGTTCTTATAGTATCACTACAACATTCACTTCCTCAATGCTTTGCAATGGAAGCATGCAGAGGATATGTAAATATTAATTAATGAACACTCGTTCGATATCTTCCAGTAATGTATTTATGTGTGTGTGTCAACTACAAGGAAACATATAATGAAATAGTTACCAGAGTTTGAACCTTGACCTTTCCAATGGTTCTGCAAGGAGAATGTTGGTTTGAACACTAAAAATAGAAAGTAAAAAAGTCTTAAATTGATTTGTTACGTGGATGATTTATTAAGCAAATATTTTTATTGGATCATCTACACATAGAAATAAGAAAATGTCTCCGTCAACTGATCATGTGATAAGTATGTGATCAGCTGCATAATAGTGGTTTCACAGTCACATAATTATGAATAAAGGGTTTGATAATGGTTTCCGTATCAGCTACTTAAATCAAAATGGTATGGGTGCATGTGGAGTGTTCATTTGAAACAGACTTGTGTTATGCATGATACAGTATATGTATTTTTTATAATGACGAGATTACAAATTGATTATGACGATGGCATACTAGAGTTTAAATTTATGTGAGAAAAGAATAATTTACTTAAGGTCAGATTTCTGTCTGGGCTGTGTATCATAAATACATTAGCCTACATTTATTATTAAATAGTATTTAAAAAAAAAAAACCCCAAAAAACAAGAGGCCCGATGGGCCTGCATCGCTCAACAAGTATTAATCTCACACTTATTACCTTAAAAGTGAACTAAAATGAAGCTCTTTGCCAAATACCAGTGTCAATAAATCTAAGTAATTCAAAAGACACCGGACCCTTGTGACCTTGAACGTTAAACAAGCTCATTCAAATGAACAAACTGTATAACCCTGCATATAAGCATGCAAGTTGCCAAATATAACCACCCTAGATATTGTCTTTATTGAGGTGAAGTCAGTTAAAGGTTTGAACATATTCGACCATGTGACCTTGAAAGAGAGGGTCAAGGCCATTCACATGAACAAAATTGATCGTTGCATGCTACAGGCCAAATATAACCATCATATGCATTTGGTTATTCAGAAGAAGTTGTTTAAATGTTTGTCAACATATTTGACCCATGTGACCTTGATTATGGTTGAAGGTAGTTTATTTGGAAACATTTGTAACTCTTATCAGAGCATGTAACTAGTCACATATCATAATCCTATGCCTTTTGATTAATCCGAAGAAGTTGTTTAAATGTTTCCAATGCATTTTTGAGATTTAACACATTTAACACTCGATTTTAATATGTTTCTCCGAGGGACATTGGATAATGAAGGTGATGTTATTTATTTGAACAGACTTAATAGCTCTGTAACTGAGCATGTTACAGACCAAATAGCATCACCTTAGACTTATTGGTTATTCAGGAAAGTTGCTAAAAGACAAAAACAAATTTAACACCTGCGTCATTGGTGAAGGTCATTTATTTTAACAAACATGACTTCCATCAACCATGTAACTGGTCAAATATTAAAACTCTTTTGACGTCACAGATTGACCCTGTTTAATGAGTCTTGTCGCTTCGCTGCGGATAACATGGAAAATGCCCCTGCGTCAAACGCTCAAATGACTACGGTTAATTATTGGCGCTAATTTTATCGAAATATGGCTGTATCGCCAATATCGTTTAAAGGACGACGCATATACAAAACGCAGTAAATCACTTAAGCATATAAGAACAAATAAATAATATTAAACAACTAATCTATAGTTACAATGTATAGGTGGATCGAACGGCGTTTTTAGAATGTTCATGCTGGTATAAAAAAAATAAAAAACGCCGTTCAATCCCTATATGGGTCTTGTTCAAAGTAAAGAATTGACACCGGACGGACGACAGACAGGCGGACGCCAGACGCCGCACCACGATATATGCTCAATAGGTGAGCTAAACAAATCACACTAATAATAGTGTATATATTTTGTTAAATATAGACGTCCTTATCACGATTATGAGTTCATGAGTCCTTACTTGTTCCGTTCCAGCTCTGCCGCTGTTCCTCCAGAGGTTTGCCAAGATTTCGACTCTTTCGAAGGTTCATCATCTCTTCTTGTTTTCTTTAAAAATCATAGATAATTATATTAACTGATACAAGCTTTGGATTCCATCGTAAACAAAAAGTGACAATGTATATTTGTTTTTATCTTTTTTCTCTCCAAAAAGATAGTTCTAACATAGGTAGTTGCACGATATATCGATACGTTACTACAAATTTATATTTATTTTTCTAAACACAGATTACCTCATGCCTGTTAACTCGTCTGAGAGACCATTAAACTTGGTTTCTAGATCTTCGTGTCTTTGTCTCAGATTGCCGAATTCTCTGATGACATTATCCAGAACACCGTTCAGCGTCAACATCTGATGCTGTAGAATCTCTACCTGTGTCGTGATTGGTGTAGCATCAGTCAGTACGGTGGCCATCAAAACGAGCATAAGGGCACCTGCCGCCATAGTTGACTTACAGTGTCCCGGTTCCTGAACCGCAGACCGAGATATTATCAGCGACACCAAAGCACCAATATTTACTATAGTGTATAGCGATCTAGATGGCATTGTACCATCTGCCCTTCTCCCACAGGACGAAACACTAGGTTTATATATATATTTCTATCGTTGCAAGGTTAACGTGCACTCTTTTTCTTTGGATTATTGGCCTTTTGTAACTAATAAAAAGACAAAACTTAATATGAATAGGGGTCATGTATACAAGTTCTATACACTGATAAAGTCAGAGAAATCTTGTAGTATATCATGGTACATGAAACTTGTTTTAAAACATTCTTGAGGGGAAAAAAGGAAATAATTTAAAAAATGTTCTAACTATCAACAACAACAACAAAAATCAATAAAAAAAACACCAGAAATATTGATAAGTCAGGTGAACTTTTATATTCATATATTCATTTTTCTTCCAATTTTTCTAGAACAAATCAGTCCCTCTTCAAGATTTCTTTATAATTAATGAGCTCATCACTCATATTTTAAAATCATGAATGGAATTATTTCAATTGAAGAAAGCGGTAAAAACCTACAATTTCAATTAAAAATCATTATATACACGGGGCATTGTCGCCGCTGTTCAACTTCTGCCTTTTTCGCCCTATGTTCTACGGGTGAGTTTATCATTACAGCGAACATTAGTAAACAGCATAATAAACCTAGTGGCCAAATGTGAAGGGCGAATATGGATTTTAACTTACAGTGGATGGTCGGGTGGTCGGGTGGTGCAGTGGATAGCGCACTTGCCTTTCACCAAGGCGGCCGGGGTTTGATTCCCCGATCGGACGTGAAAAGATTGGGGTCACCTGCCCGATCACGTCGGTTTTCTCCGGGTACTCCGGTTTTCTCCTACACTAAGACCCCACACGCGCTAACATTCGGGCCCACAAGAGTGATTCATATAAGTTGAAATAATTTGTTTCATAATTGTTGTAAAATAAATAAAAAATTTATATATTAAAAAATAAATAAAAAAATAAAAATATGGATTTTACTGACGTCGGGCAAAGGTCTGAAGAAAATCAACAATTCTGTTTTTTTCAAAAGATGTTTTGAGACAAAATTATGTTATACTTCAATTTTGAGATCGCATAATAAAAGCCGCACTCAGGATAGCTTCAAGAACATAACTTTTCGCAAGACATTTATTATTTTATGGAATTTTAACACTTTCAATACACAATGCGAGATACATACGGTGGTGACGTACTACCCCGATTAACCTCAAGATCATCACTCAATTTTGATTTATTAAATACATTAATTTGTTTATGAGCTCTTTGTCGAAATTATACTGAATTAGAGTGCAACTTGATACAGTAAGCTCATACCATTGCCGGTATAAGTGTATGCCAGTAAGCTAAATATTTTTGTCAATTAAACTTTGGAAAAAAATAATTTCTGTCAATTGAGATATTCATGTAATCCCAGTCGAGGCAGAGATATCGACTCTTATATATAAAAAGACTGTATCATGTTTATACCTTCCGCAACGTGATGAACAGTTTATTTTTCAATAATAAAAACAACATGACCTGGTATTAATCTCACATTTAAAAGTAGACTAAAATACAGCTACAGGGAAAATATCAGTGTTTGACTCAAAAGAATATTTAAAAAGATTGAAACATAGGACCCCTGTGACCTTGAAAGTCGAACAAGGACATTAAGTTGAATAGACTTTATAGCTTTTCATCCCAGTATGCTTCTGGCCGAATATCATTACCCTGGACCTTTTGGTTATTCAGAAGTGATTAAAAGATTTCAACATATTTGATCCATTTGATCTTGAAAATGGGCGAAGGTCATTCATTTGAACAAACTTGGTAACCCTTCATCTAGCATGCTACTGGCGAAATATCAACACCTGGTCCTTTTTGTTATAAAGAAGAAGTCGTTTACAGATTTCAAAATATTTGACCCCTGTGAACTTGATTTTACGGCATAAGCTCACTTGCCCTTCGGGCAGGTTAGGTAAAAAAGAATATGACAACCATTCCTGTCGATGATTCTGCCAACAGGTCACTAACTGATGTTATACGAGGTATCAGGGGGACAAGGAAAATAAATTAAGGGCCCTCTTAAATATCCCTTAAATAGGGGTTTCGGGGGCATATGTTTCAATTAGAATATTTAATATTGAAAATCCTCTTCCAGCATTCAGTAAGCAAATTATCCCCACAAAAGTTTGCAGAGAAGTAAAGTTTGATTTCAAATTATTCAATGTACCATGAGCATTAAGGAGCACGTTTGAGGAAAACACGATTCTTGCAAGGGGACTGAACCATTCTTCCGATTATGTAATCTGATAATACCACTACATTGTGGGTTTCCTCCTTAAAAGCAAAGAAAGAGAAATTATTTGGACAATATAAGTCATGCCATTTTCCTCATTGTAGACAATAGAAAGAGTTAAGACAGAGGTAATACACCGTGGAGATTGTATTTGCCAATACATTACAATTGATTACTGACAATATATGCAACAATGTCATAGTGTTATATGCACATCTCAAGACTTTTCAGAATGTCCTATGAACGGATGGAAGGGCTGGCAACCCTACCCCTGCGAAACGCAGTTCTTATGGTCAGAAACAAGAACTGTATTTGAACAGTTCAAGCAGTCAGTGTATCGGAAAAATCCGAAATCCTACTTTAAATAGGAATATGAATTTTAAGATGTTGATAGATTCTATGAAAATCTACGCCAAGTTATGGGCAAAGATTGAGCATGATAAATTGAATTTACTCTCATAAATATATCGGTTCCATCACTCACAACAGACCTAGCATCCTGAAATCGAAACAGAAGACCAAACAGAAGTTGGCGTTGCATGATCTCTATATCTAAACAACACTTACCAACCTGCATGATAAACGGTGGTGACGACAGATCCTTATCTGCCTTTAAACTTCATTATTCTCTGTTTGCCGAAAGAACTTAGAGTGCTTAAAGAAATCAATTTTATTCTTTATATATATATACATATACATTTTCCAGATATTTGAAAGACGAAATACTGGCTCATCATTCTACTCCATAACAATATTTCAAAGGATACTGACACGCTTCTATTGTATTTGTTTCCAATATTTCGGAAGAATCCATACTAAATACGTTTTCTCGCCATCTCTACTAGATGGTCAATGAAGTCATCATACAATCGTTGTAAGTATAATTAAATCAGGGTCAGTTGGAATGTGATTTTTGAAGAACTTAAATATATTTTTTAGTCAATATTTAGCATTCTTTTCTCAGAACCTGTTCTTCTATCAGATCATTTCACATTCCACTCTGTCCACTACAATGCGTCATCTATCTGAAGGCATGCCATCGTTCATTACTGTATCTTCTTCAAAATATGCGATCGGCAATTTACAGATTTAACTTTTTTAAAGGGAGAAACAGGAGAAAAAGGCAAGATAAAATTTTGGTTGTACATTTTTTTCAGCAGATTGTAACCGTTCCAATGGAAACAAACAATGCCTCGCTCCTATTTTCGATAAATATCCAATCAACACCAAATACGGATTAGACACAAAACCCAGAACCTGTTTGAGAAGAATAGGCTCGCATGGAGATCTAAGAATACCTAAACGTGAACCCGATATTAGAAGAAAACTATTGGGAACTCTTAATAGTGGTCCCTTAATACAGGTTGTCACGAATTGCAGGTCGCCATGAAATTACTACCATGGGAAACGTTAAAAATGGCCTCTGACAGCAGGTGGTAAAACATGTTGAATGTTTTATTAAAATGATCAGAATTATTTACCCCAGTTTAACCGAAGGTAGCAAACATGAACACAAGCCGAAAGCTTTGTGCATCTTACGCTATCAGAGTAAATATATTCTGTGCATTCAAACGTTTAAAACTGAAGGTGATTTACATATATACGTTAGCAAACGGTCAAACCTATATTAATAATTTGAAAGGGTAGAGAAAGGTTCAAGCTGCCCTGGCTATCCCGACCTGCACTAGGTCAGGTATGGTAGCATTTCAAAGGATGCTTATATTTCAAGTAAAACAACTTGTGCATTTTTTTATTGGATTATTTATTAATTATTGTGCATATAAGAGAAAACCCGAAAATGTTGTGAAGGCATTAACAAGAACTTCACCCTGATCGTGGTAGTTGTCATGTACTTGGACCCATATTTTATCGTTCACCTGCAGCTCAACAAGAACCATGTTGGACCCAGAACCATACAGTTCTTTGTCTCCAGAATAGATGTCTAGGATACCGTAACCATTCCGAATAAGCTCGACTTCGACCACTCCGTTCCTTTCGACGAGGATAGTTACAGAAAATACATATAACCCTGCCACTTGACAGGTGAATATACCAGTATTCCCATCATACCCCGTCCCTAGTTGAACCAGGCCGCTCCTCATAATGATAATCTCATTGTCAGTCAGAGATCCTAGATCGTTTCGTAGTTTGGCATGGAAAGCAACTTTCTGCTGTACGCCTGTAATGCAATCCGAATTTACTGTAGCATCTGAGAAAAATGACGACTGAGAGTTATCCTTCTTTTTAATATACATACAGGCTTTTGTTATGATATTATGATCAATGCTGAATGATACTATCTTATGAGGTACTATGTCATTACAATAAAAACAAAGTAAACGGAAGTATCTATTTAAGTCGAGACAGAAACCAAAATAAAGGAAGTATTAACTATTTCTTTCATTTTGAAATTATCAGTGGTATCAAAGTTTCTTAGTTTGTCGAAAGATATGTAGAAACACAGCAAAAAGGGGAAAGATTTCTAAAAAAATGCTAACTCTGAAAAATCTAATTTATGTGGATTTTTAATTTTGTTGATGTCATAGGTATTCTTCATCCACGAATTCATACGTCCACGAAGTAATTACAAGGTTTATATAACGTAATCCTGCGTTTGAGTACTACTCGTAATACACGAATTCATTTACCCACGCAATGGCATGTTGTCGGGAAACCATGGAATGAAGGCCCCACAAAAATAGCTGATTTCACAATATAAAGTATAAATTTACAATCTTTAGGTTAACGTTGTATCGTTGTGGTTAGTTATCTTGCTTATCTTACTATAACCATGCGGTTTATCAAAATAACGAGTTTGGAAATCTTTTTTCTACCATATCATGGCAAGAATATTTTACATGTGATTTTGGCTATTCCCTGTTATGATATACTTGTTCAGGTTATACGACATAAACTAAAACGAACACAACCCAAGAAGTGATGACGTCGTATACCTCAATGTTTGTGCGGTATTTCAATTTCTATTGGATGAAATAACTCTTTCATCTCTTAAAAACAAATTAATTTAGTATTGAATAACAATGACGGATGATGATTTAATGTGCCAACATGTTAATGACTGGAAAACGTATATTTGATTTTTTTGTATTTCGCTAATTTACAAAATTAAAAATATTTCATTGTGTACTCGTATATTTAAATATATGCCCGATATCGTAATTGCTGTCTTCGCTTGGTTCCCCATTACTACCGGATTTAATTACCTTAGGTTTATTATTGTTCACAATTGCCCCCCCCCCC